AAAACTGAACAGATTTGAAATTGCTCTCAATTTCGCAAAACACCTATTTGTATCTGTTTTTATATATATAGCTTCTTTGGGTACTTATAATGTAAAATAATGAAAAAAATTTCTCGAACTCAAATTTTGTGAACCAGGGGTGTGTGTCTTTTCCAACAAACTAAAAATGGCTCGCGCACAAAATTTAAAAGCTGTAATCATATTTTGAGTTAATAGATTGAAAATTTGTCGGGTTTTTAATTACTGTACAAAATTCCAGACAATTTGGTTTAGTTTAAGCCCTTTAACTATTCATTTTGTTCTAAAAAGTCAGCCTTTCGCATGCTTAATTAATGCCTTTACCTAATTTCCATATTGCTGACATATGCAAATTAGGCAAATGCATTAATTAAGCATGCAAATAGCTGATTTTTCGGAAAAATTGTAACTTTGCGTGAACAGTTAAGGGGCTTAAACTAAACCAAATTGTCTGAAATTTTGTACAGTAATTAAAATCCCGACAAATTTTCCATCTGTTAACTCAAAATATGATTGCAGCTTTTAAATTTTGTGCGCGAGCCCTTTTTAGTTTGTTGGAAAAGACACACCCCCCTGGTTCACAAAATTTGAGTTCGAGAATTTTTTTTCATTATTTTACATTATAAGTACCCAAAGAAGCTATATATATAAAAAATAGGTACGCACTGCGTACATGTGGCTAGCCTATTCAGCCTGGTCGAATACAGCCGGAGTTCACATTGTCATGAACATTCATCACAAACATTCATTTTGATACAAAATTAATCATTACAATAGAAGAATGGTCAAAATAAAACAGATGCATTATCTTTCTTACAATGCCAACAAATGGCTACAATCACTTGATTTAAAAGCAACATTCGGTTTTGCTTCAATAATAAGTATATACATGCAGCAACTAATAATGTCAATTTTATTGTTTTTCAAAATTGCACTAATATGTAATTCACTAAGATTTCATTACATCGGTTTCTTGTTACAGATATATTCTGTTGTACAGATTATATTCTTGTTACATGATATATTCTTGTTACATATGTATTATAGCATCGTAGATTTCATAAAACCTTTAAATTCAAAGTTCTTCATCAACATAATATACTTAATACTAGATTTCTAAACATTTTTATTTATTGTAAGATCTAACAGCATCAGAATTTATAATGAACTCATCAAATCAATTATGTCATCACCACTAACTTGTATTGCCCTGACACTTGTGCAAATATTCTGATCTTCCTATATTATCCAATATTATCACCAGTCACCATATTATCAGGAAATTGACCAGAATATGTGTTCACTTAGTTGTTTGAAGTACTGTAGATGCCATGCATCACTATGATTTTGAATTGTGCTTTTATCTGCAAATTGTTTAAAATTAAGAACCAAATATTTACTGGCAGCTCGCAAGACTGACACATTATAAATGATGCAGGTATAAATTTAACCCATTAAGCAGCAGAGCTTCCCCATTGACGGGTAAAATCGTCTGGCGTTAGACAAGTAAAAAAAATAAGTAGGGTGCATTGGGGGCCTGGGGCGCATTGCAGCTCATTAGGTTAAACAACACATTTAACTGTGGCAATAAAAGTATGAACATGCTATATGACCTCATCACATTATGACTGTGGGTTTTCTTCATATATACTCTCGCAACTGCAACGGTCAGTGTTTTATTGTGATTGCACTAATTTTCAGGGACGTAGCAAAGCATCTGAAGTTTGGGGGGGTGTCGGATGTCAAATGGTCATCATTTTACAAAAATAACGACTTTTACACAAAGTTTACCTGAGAATGTAAAAATTTACAAGTATTTGAGCTTTACCTGAGTTTCACAGTTGTGGAGTTTGCCCCCCTCCCCCCCACACACACACACACTCCCCTGTCTCTACGCCCCTGCTGATCTTAGATCAGATATAATAATACATATTATTTACATCTGGACTAGATATCCAAAAATAAACTGCACCTACAGTTGCATCTCCTAGTTTAATAGATCTAATAAATGTAAAATAATACATTTTCACTCAATTACTTCCATCTAGCTAGAAGATCCTTCAACTGTATGTAAACAGACTGAGCTTCCACGCTAGTAACTACTAGACTATATTAATATACTGTAAAATAGTCCAGCCTGTTTTCTGTGTTAAGTGTAGTTAAAGTTTTATACCTGCAAGTGGACAGGGCAGTTGTAGTACTGTTGTAAAATATGCCAACAATGGGCTATGCCAACTATTACCCACATAACGGTATATTAAAATTCAAGATCTGTGCAAGAACGTTTGATTATAAACAGGATTATATAAACTCACTATATAAAGCTTTATATGAAGCGTGATCTAAATCTCCTTGACCAGAAGCAGAGTCCAGAGCAGACATGAATAGCAACACGATAGCAATGACAATGTTTTAATAATATAATATGAAATGACAGATTCACAAATTGTAAACATAAATATCGACTGAAATAACAAAAATTAACTTACCGTTTGCTGTGAAAAATTCATTCGAGTATTTCTACCAGCGTTGCCAACTGTAATTTTGCTGAGTGAGGCATCTTCCAGTATTAAAGTCGTTTAATAGTTGTAAGATACCTTTTCCGTGACAACTGGCATTTTAATATCATTGCCTCATGCCATCAACGACAGTTTCCGAACGCAGTCGACAAGTTCTGTCACAACTTCACAACTCTTACAGTTTTTAGCGTTACATTGTGGCTAGCCCGCGAACGGGCTAGCCACAAAAACCAGATACAAATAGCTGTTTTGCGAAATTGAGAGCAATTTTAAATCTGTTCAGTTTTTTTTTATACACCCTGTATAATGGTCGAAAATTTAGTTCATTTTGATTAATAGTCATTTAATATATGTGCTATCAACAGTTTCTTTATGGTATTAAGTAACAGATTACAATGCTTGTACATTAGAGATTTAGAGGCACTAATAACTCAATAATAAATAGGCACTAATACAAACTCCGAGCCAGTGCACCCAGCATCCTCAAATTGGGAATAATTTGTAAATTTAAATATTTGTGTATAATTCATAATTTATCCTATTCCAATACAAAATGCAATAATATAGAACACACAATTTATCAAATAAAGGTAAAAAAAGGTATTAAAAACTTTATTATGTAATATTTACATTGAATATCGTGGTTGAAGTTGTAGATTTATACTTGAAATTTCAATTTTCGAACGAGAAATGTTTCGCTTTATTATGTTAATTTTTTTACTCTGTTCGCCATTCTTGCTTATTTACAAATACAAATAGTCCATTTCTTCATTTGCTCTTTTCAAAATAGCCCAGAATAAAAAAGTATTTTCATGCAAAAACCAGCATTTAAAGGTGATCTACAGTCCGATCTGCGCATGTGCACAAATGAGCCCACTTTTTATGATACAAACAGTTTAACTATGTTTTGAGTTCTTGAAAAGCCTGATTGTTGTTTCTTGATCATTTATTATACTCTAGAAGCTTGAAAATATAAATAGTTGTCGAATAAAGCTCAATATTTTGGACACAAAAATGTAAACAAAGTCTTTGTTTACATACGGACTGTAGATCACCTTTAACTTTTGTATACAATATAGCATGTTTTGTATAGATATAGCAGACATGTTGCCAAAATATCACCCGGTTAATGAATAACTTCCGGTACTTTCATTGTATTCGCATTGACCAATCAAATCACGTTCTGAGTTGGATTATCCCAGGGTTTCTGAGAGCAATAAGCGCAGAAGCCCTGGGTACGAGGTTGTAGTATCGCGGCCTCTTGTTATTGTTTTTATCTTACACCAAATCGAAAAATAACGGTAAAAATGCCTTACTTGGTGTATTTCCAATAAGAATCAGATAAAAAGAAGCAAGGATTCTCAAACGATGGTTTAAATATACGTCGGACTACAAAAACCTTTCTAGACCTATAATTTGATCTACCAAAAGGGAAAAGCCTGGGAACGAGGTTGTTAACCTTCTCCGTCCATAAAATGGCCGCCAGCAGGAATTAGAGCCCGCAAGACCTGCATGGAGTCCAATTGCAACTAATTATTTAATAGAATAAAAACATTGTCGCATCTCATTTACCTCAACATCGTGTTCTAGCGGTTAAAACGTGAAACGGGCCGGCAAGATGAAAGAAACCTGCCTTTTTGTGGTTCGCAGGAAACAAGAAAAATGGGTACGCTGCAGCGTACATGGCGTCTACTGGATCAAAAACAAAGACAACCTCGTACCCAGGGTATTACCTTCGCTCACCTCCTGCTGCGGAAGCAGGGGGTGAGCGAAGGTAATACCCTGGGTACGAGATTGCATGAAGGGGTAATTTGACCTTTAGAATTTCCGACGTTTCGCGAGTGTCAGGATGTAAACATCGCATTGTTTTAATATGTCAAGCTGTATTTCCGGTCGAGGCTCTCACGTAAAATTTAGATATTCTGAAATACCGAAATAAAAGTTGCAAATCTGTAGATACAAACTTGAAAATAACACTCTAAATAGTGTCTTAGAATGTGATTCGAACAAGAATATTACGAAAAAGATAAGTTGAAAGGGGCCAATATTATATTCGGCGAAAGGTATGGCTTAGTGATACATTGTCGTACATTGTTTACATTGTTCAAGTGTATTGTATATAGGTATGGTATGGTATGGCTAGTTCACATTGTTCGAGTATGGCTAGTTTATATTTTATGGCTATTTTACATTGTTCGAGTTTATAGTATCTTTCAAGCGGAATTTTTTTGTGATATTTTCGTATTTCTACTGCAAATACTCGCGGAGTTCTTTATAATATTAACGTCGGAAATCTCAAGGCCGGACGGCATTGATAAAACCATTTATCGTAAACAGTTCGGAAACTTTCGTACATGCGCGGGCTTTAGCCTAACCAAAGAGCCTGTTCGCAGGAGAAGTGAACCGTCCACTCTAATATATATAACTAAACCTCTTGTCGACAGCATATCGCGACTACTGTTCCAGTAGACGCCAAAAACGGCAATCTTAAGGTCTCTAGCGTCATCTAATGCAAACACTTCATTGTACCTTTAGGCACGTTTTACATTTCACACCACTGGGTTTGACGTTTTTCGCACATGCTTCATATTTGGCGTAGTAATGTTGAAATGCTGCATTTCCCTTCCGCAATAAATCTTCCTAAAAATGAAAAGGACAATACTATAAGCCAAAAGCCCCGGCAATTTCAGAGGGATATTAAAGGATAATTTTGTAGAATATTATAGAGATGCTTATAGTTCGGGCAGGATTATTTGATATATATCCATGGGTATGTCCATGGTTAACAAGAGAGCTTAAATCTATGATGATCTCCCGTGATTACTATCTTAAACAAGCTAGACAAACCAATCAAGAACTCCATTGGTCGACTTATAGACGTTTGCGAAATTTAGTTACTTCTGCTATAAAGCATAACAAAGCAAACTTTTGTCGGAATCTCCTTTACAACAATGGTGAATCCCCTAAGACTTTTTGGAAGTTAATTAAAAAATTATATCCTGGGAATAACAAAACATCAAAATCATCTTTTTTTAAGGTGAATAATGAATTAGTATCTGATACCAGGAAAATAGCAAATGGGTTCTGTCGTTATTTTTCAACTATTGGCAGCCGCCTACAACAAAACGTTGTTACAATCACCAACAAAACTTGTAGCTCGCTTAGAAATGATGATAATTTAATGCATACGATAAATCCAACTGGCAAATTCTTCAAATTTTCTAAAGTCAATTGCTCAAAAGTTGCCAAAATACTACAATCTATGAGAATTTCCAAAGCCGCTGGCCCCGACAACTTACCAGCATCTCTCTTGAAGGATGCGTCTGAAGAACTAGCGCTGCCTCTTTGTATATTGGTCAACATGAGTTTTGAATATGGAACTTTCCCAAATGCAGAAAAATGCGGAAAAGTTATCCCGATCTATAAATCCGAAGATCGAGCATCTTTCGACAATTATCGACCTATATCGGTCCTAAATACGGTTTCAAAAGTCATCGAAAGGATTGCACATCAGCAAATCACAGACCATCTTGAAAGAAACCAATTACTCTGCCCTCAACAATTTGGTTTCAGACGTGGGAAATGTACCCAGCATGCTGTGACATATCTCAACGAACATATTCGTCAAAATATGGATAAAAGTCGATGTACTGGTGTAGTATATCTGGACTTACGAAAAGCATTTGACACGGTTAGTCATGCATGTTTGCTCAATAAGCTGCCGTATTATGGAATAAGAAACATCGAACTTCTTTGGATGAAGGATTATTTACTCAATCGATCTCAGTTCGTATACTTCAACCAAGTTAAATCAGATGAGGAGCATGTATCCTGCGGTGTCCCACAAGGATCAATTCTCGGCCCTCTTCTGTTTGTCTTACAGATTAACGATTTATACTTGTCTTTGAAGAAATGTAACATCATAATGTATGCTGATGATACTGTGCTTTATTATTCAGCGAATGGCACAGATGAAATCCAGAGATCTATCAATAGTGATATCGAACGTGTTTCCCAATGGCTGGACTCAAATAAGTTAATTGTTAACCTGAAAAAAGGAAAAACTGAATTTGTATTATATGGAACGCCTCAAAAATTAGCACGTCAACAGGATTGCAGTATAATGATGAACGGGACATCTATCAATCAAGTTAAAGAGTATGAATACTTGGGTATTATTATGGATAACCACCTAACTCTATCAAGTCAAGTGTCAAAAGTATATAAGAGAGTTTCGTCTCGTTTGAGCCAACTCTCACGAATACGCTCTAATATAAGTCCCTATGTTGCGGAAAGAATTTATCGAACAATGATTTATCCTATTATGTTTTACTGCTATCCAGTGTATTTGGGCCTCAGTAACACAGCTAATTCCAAAATACAGAGACTGCAAGATAGAGCGGCAAGAATAATTGGTCCAAAAAATTGTTTACATGATGATTGTGTAACTAGTCGCAAAAGATGTGTTGTAATGGATGTTTTTAAATCTTTACATTCGATTGGCCCAAATTTTCCCCACGTGAACTTCCAACGTTTCAATCACGGAATAAACACGCGAAGCAACAACTCACGTTTAATTGTACCGAAAGTTAAGACAGAGGCCGGTAGAAAGTCGTTCTCCGTGCAAGGAGTTTTGCTGTTTAATTCACTAAGCGAGGAAATAAGGAATGAGAACTCGTATATTAACTTTAAAAGAAAAGTTGAATCTTTTAACTTTAGTTCGCCGTAATTGTGAACATTTTCGTACTATTGTTAATGTATGTTTAGTGATCATGTTTTGTACATTCTATGTCATAAGAAAACAATCTTAGTTAAATACTTAATTAATTTTAGCATAAATACAGGTCCTTCATTGATAGCAGGCGGTACACTGCCTGAAGAAGTCAACCTGTCTAAATATGTTAATTAATAATAATAATATATAATAATATAATTGATAAGAGTTATTAACTACGCGGATATTGCATTGAAATGGTGACTTATAAGAAATAAAATAATTTTGACCTGGCCACCCTTAAAAACTGTGACATTACTATTCTCGGAAGTATCCGAGAATAGGGGCGGGCCCTTATTAAATATTTTCCGTTGCCTGCATGTCACTAGTGAGGTTCAGAGTTGAGGTTCACTACTGCTACCATTAAGGGACCACTAGCCAATCAGATGCGTTTGATATATCCGATTAACCAATCAGATGCGTACCAACGCAGTAAGAGGTCGCGGTAGTCTAATCTGAACCTCTCTACTTTAAGTTCAACGACGAATTTGTAAGAATCTCTAGCTCTGAAGTGTTCTACACATTTTATAAATTTCTCGTGGAAGCTTTAGATATTAATTTTGTGCCTCCTAATGTACCTTTTCTTTTTCTTCAGCTTTAGGATGTCCGTCAACTTCGCTTTTAGCAGCTACGTCAGGAACTGTATCAGCTAAAACTTTGCTAGCATGATTATCACATTTCTGTTCGACAGGAAACGTCGGTGCAGCTACAGCAGACTCTATACAACACAAGGATTAAAATACATAAATCCACAATTCTCCAGGAGTAGCATAACTATAAATTAGTACTAGTTTGATCTGTTTGTGCATTATTGAACGGACCCTGTTGTGATTGACCCTTACTAACATGTTCCAATTATTTAGCCTCTCTCACGCCGCCATTTTTGGGGTACTTTTTTGCCAATCCTGCGAGCGTAACACCACGTAAGGGCGACATTTTATAATTTTGTGGGTGTATGATGGTAAATTTACTCTGTAAATAGTTAGTTTGTTCTGAAATATTGCTTTTCACATTGTTATAATAGTTTACGAAAAATTACAGTACCCCAAAAATGGCAGCGTGAGAAAGGCTAATTGGTTAAAAACACCAACAAATTGGTTGTTTCAGATTAATTTTGAATGTGAGATAACCATTTATTGGTTGTTTACACTCTACACACGTAAAAATCTCACAACTTGTCAACAAGATGTGTTCGCAACAGGCTTGCAGCAAGCTTGCCAACAAGTTGTAACAATGCTGTTATTTCATCAAGTTGCTACAAGGTTGTCACTGTCAACTTGTTGACAATTTATGAGTTGCAGGACGATAACAAGTTGTTGGAACAACTTGTAACAAGTCTGTTGAGCTCAACAACCTTGTAGCAGGGCTCGAATTTTATCGCGACAATCTCGCGGCAATTGCCGTATAGAGGGAGAACAAGATGCCTTGGATCATTGTGGCAACGACGGCAATTTTTTGCCGTATAGTGCAATTTTTATACTATTCACTGTGCATTACTACTTTGATACTTGAATTCAGATGTTGATCAAATCATGCGTAAATCACTATTTTAGTCTCAGTTTTCTTCGAAAAAAAAAACACTAAAGAAATATATAGGCATGTTTCTAGCTTGTCAAAAATCCAAAGTAACAATAAAATTAAAGTTTTATTACAGTAATTTGAAAAATGCCATGGAAACTGCCAAAATTGCCGTAGACAGATGTTACGTTCTATGGCAATTTTTAACGCCATTGCCGTCGATTGATTTCAAGGAAATTCGAGGCCTGCCTTGTAGCAAGTTGTCAACAAGCCATTGACAACTTGTCAACTAGCTGGGAACAAGCAGTGCAAACACATCCTATTGACAAGTTGTTGGAACAGCATTGCTACAAGTCTGCCGCAAGTTTGTCACAACTTGTGCGTTTTTACGTGTGTGGAACAGCTATTTCCTTCTGCTAAAGATAGACCATCACCGGAAGATCAGACTAACGTGGTCTACAAGATCAACTGTGCAGATTGCTCATTGCGCTACATTGGCGAAACTGGCAGAACATTCAACACTAGAAAAGGAACACAAGAGAAATGTAGAGCTCTGTAAAAGTGGTTCAAATATCGCTAATCACGCTTGGACAAACAACCTCAAAATAGATTACAATAGCGGGAAAATAATTGACAAAGGCGACTATCGGCACAGAGAAACACTTGAATCATTGCATACTGCATGCACAAAAAACTCTGACAACAATTCAAAACATTTACCGGAACAGTACCGCTTTTTACTTAACAAAAAACTTTGAATGTATCTATATGTAATTCAAGTCATTATTCCTGTATGTAGGCGGAACTGTCATCTTGTCATTTTGTATCTATATGTAACTAATATACTAATTATTGTAACTGTAAACCGTTGTAATTGTCACACTCTCATTGTAATCCACCCGTTGAAGACTGCAGACTGGCAGTCGAAAGCTCGTAATAAATAAATATTTAAAACCAGAGAACGTCTACTAACTTACAGTATTATGTTAATAACCAATATCTGTTTTTACAGTTTTGCTGCTTGCGTCCAAATTTAAAACGTCTTCAAATTAACATGAGCTCCTGTAGGAAGTTCATCCTTGCTTTTCTATTCACCATTCAATGCTTTGCATAATCTTGGGAATTTGCCGATCTCTGCATGGCATGCTTCCAATGAATTCTTTTTGGCATTATAGGGAGGGTCTATCCACACCGCTTTGCATGGAGCTAACTCCTGTTGGGCTTCAAGCGTACATGTAAAGTGTGACATATTCTAATGCTGGGATTTAGCATGCTTATTTACTGTCTTAAGAGCTTGTGGCATATTATTAAAGCTGATATAATTCGCTGTATTGCGGAGACTTGGTCAAAGATTGGGGTACCATTGGCAAGTGTGGATTGTATGGAAGTACCACTGATGTGAGTGCACAAATGATGGGTTTTGCTGGGATTCCCCAACAGCACCGCTGCCAGGATATTTTTAACAAAATATCTTCCCAGGAAATTTTCTTACATCTTGTCATCTTATATACTGGAATGCCATATTAATTTACTTATTGTTCAAAAGCGTGGGCAAGTCGAGATTAGTGCCTTGTGCCGAGATTGAAGTTTATCCCAATGTGCGGCACCATACAGTACGTCCCCTGAAATCTGCATAGAGTATGCAGGAAGTTTATATATGACTTACGCAGGAAATTATTATTTTTGGATTTTGCTGCCTGGAAGAGAAATATATTTTCCAGTGGTGTTCAGGTCGTCCCCTGTGGGGCCTATTTATCATATAGGCAGCGTACTATATGTAACAAGTGTGATCGTGCTAGTATGTCTGGTTATTCCTTGGTCTCGAGCTCGCCGCAAGGGCTGCGATTTGTTATCAAAAGGGCATATTTATTTTAAAAAGGGCAGAAACAAAAATGAAAGGGCACTTACCTACTTATAACCTAATTTAAAATCAAACACAAGCAATGAAGCAACCTTTTATTCATTTCAAACATTAATTTAAAATAAGGCACGCAGAATTAGCAGAAACTGTTTCGCTTTCTCTTTCGGCTGAAGAACGTTTTGTGTGTTCGTTTACTACTTTACTAAAAAATACATGCATACAGAAACTCTCCTTACTGACAAAACCATTCTGTTTCCGAACAAGAAGTATTGGAAGTAGTTGTCATGGTGCACTGCGAAAAACGCCCAGCAATAACTAGTACGGAGAAGAAGAAGAATAATCCTAATCTCCGTCTAGCATATAAAACGCAACATTAAAATGTCTACGATATGTAAAAGATATTTATAAGCTGCTAGACTTTGCTTGTCATATTCTGACGAGTGATATATGAGATGATAAATATATCAAACAAGGCGAGAATGCTTAAAATCGTTTAAAACATTCATTTTAAAAGGATCAGGCAGCTGAATATCGTGAACTTTCAAACGACGGCTTAGATTTAACTGGTCTTGGGCTTCACTGACTTGAAAAAGCAATGAAAAACTCATTTCCTCGACGCACAAGCAATACGAGTCCGGGTTTGAGGTAAACTGTTAACGGTGATTCCTCGATTTTGTAAGTACGCTTTGAGCTCCGGCAGCTTCATGAATCATGGCTTTCAATTTTTCTTCTCGTGACATATTTTCCATTTTGACTATTGTTTCGTGACGAAAGCGAGCAAATTTATCTATTAAATGGTCGAAACATTTGTGTATTTTGAATAGCATTTGTATTACGCTCCGCCATGTTTGTCCGAGTTTCCGATTTCTCGAGCACGTGTTTCCACTTCACACAAAACCGCCAAAGTGGTCTATTCACCGCTGATTATGCGTTTTTCACATATGAATGCTTATATCATATATGTTTCGTTCTACATTCAAAGTATCACACATGTCAGCAAATAATGCTTCGTTCCACATTAAAACTTAAACTATATATGTCCCGCGCGCATAATCACATTGTCATATCAACATAATATGTTGTTGTAGCTTCGTTCTTAAAGAAACCACGCAATATATCAATATAATATGTTGTTTCTTGCAGAGGTATTGGACATTAATCCGTGCCACCGCCAAAACATTACTCACTTTGACAGTACAGTTATATTTGCTACTGGTTTGATAATCTTGGGGTATTCCATGCACAGATAGATTTAAATTTACAAAATGACAGACAGGAATCACTAGCTGTACCATTACTGGCAGGTCGAATTTTGGTGTAAATGCTTGGGGAGGTGGAAAAAAATTGAGGGGGCACCATCCGACCTGGGATGTTAGGATTTTGGACGTATACCCTGTAGTCAACTACGTGACATATTATGTTATGCACATATATATGCATGCCTGCAATTAAATAATGTATTTACTAATTATGATTACATGACTAGTCCAATTTCACTCCTCGTTAATACACTATTACAAAGGCTTTTTCGAAATATTGCATGAAAAGGGTAATAAGCTCGACGACAGTCTCTCTGTAGCTCAGTTGCATGGTTAGATCGCCGCAACATATTTAAATGTACCATTTACATTTATCACTGCTTCAATTTCAATTTCATAGAAGAACTTCAAAATGTAGCTAGAACAGGGGTGGAAAAAGTATCGGACAACGGGACCATTGGTCCCAGAAAATATTTTGAGTTCCCAGAAAATATTTCCCCAAGAAAGAAAAATATAATTGTAAAAATTTAGATAAAAGGATAAATTCAGAGGGAAAACTATCTGAATTAGTTCTACTTCTGTCATATTCCTAAAAGTATTATTAAGATTCTCAGTGCACTGTCACTGAAATAATTTTTTTCTGCGAAAATATAGCATGACCGATTCAGTTTGACAACTTGTTAAGGTTATACACTCAGTTACAGTGTCCAAGTATTAATAAAATAGATTTACTTGATTTATCACAGAAAATGTTTTATTGCCCTTTGGCAGTCCCGGAAAGTAAAATATTTTTTCCACCCCTGATGTAGAACTTAACCAACACATAAAAAGTGAATAGCAAACATTCAAATTGTTTATAGTTGCAATTCAGGGATGTTAGGATGTATTAATTTTGTTTCATGAACATTATAAATTCAATAAAAATCGGCTGTCGCCTAAAGGAATGGAAAATTCCAACTTTCACCTCATGAAAATATTTTTACCATCATACACTCAGTCTGATAAACATTCATTATTTGTATACTATGTAATTATCCAGGCTACAGAGTAAGGCACTTTTCAACAAGATCTTGGGGTGCAAAATTACAAAATGTAAGACATTAGTGTGGGCATACAATTAAAGGCATAGCTTGGATTAAGATTTTGGGAGAGTGCTTCCAAAATGCAGGGCATGTACCAGTCTTACCCAGAATAGCCAAATGAATGCACGGTTCCAATTGTGCTCGCCAACAATAGACAATGCCTATAATGTGGTTCTATGTGATACGACCAAACACAAGGCCATAATATGATTAAAATACACATTCAGTGACATTACAATTTTATGACATGTTATCAAGACTCTTGGGGCATTTAAAGCTATATTTAGGCAAAAATTTATCCTAGGCAAAAAAAACAGAAAAAACTGGAAAAACTGTTTGAAACTCAGTAATACTGAAACTAAATGGCAGTAATGACATAAGTTTGTGCAAAATTGCAAAGCATTGAAGCTAAGAAGATCATACATCATGTAGCATGAGTTTTAATTAATCTAACTGTACATAACTTATATTTTGACATAAGTTTTGTTGTTGCTTTTTTACAGTTTTTGGTTTTTACCCTGAACCGCCTCACCCTATTAGTGCACCCTCCACCCTGCTTACAACCCGTTCGTTACTTTCTCTTTTGGGAACTAGCTGTTATTGTTCCTAATAAAGCTGTTAAAACTAAAGCTAAAAAAACTTCAGACAGAGTTGTCATACATAAGATCATAAAATTGGTAGCGACAGTATAAAAAATTTAAAGACCATTAATTAAAAGGGTAGATCATGGTTCATCGTTCACCAAGCTGCACCGGCAGCTCTTTTCAATTTGTAAAAATGCATGCCATATAATATTATGACAAATTCCTGGATGGTCAATTCTTAAATGTGTTTGGCTAATACACACTGACTATGATTTGAGCCAGCACAATTTGGTGCACTGCTCGAGCATGCAACAAGTTATGACTTGACAAAACCCCTCGTCGCTAAAATCCACACGTTAAAAATTTTGAGCGCAACGTACCACACAGCTAAATAACATGACTAACATTATCACAAGTCTAGCGATTAATCGCCTGCACACTTTTTGGTCATTTTCGGCCACAGCCTAGTAGTTTCAAGACAGGTTAATTTGCCCACCCGCTTTCAATTGGTGATATATTTGGCACCAGAAATTACAGTAAATTTCATAAATTTGTCAGTGAATTTCCAACTAATGGCCATGCTCTGCAGCCTGGATAATTATATACACACCTGCCAACCCTGTGGCAGAAATCGTCAGTTGCATTTTACAAAATCTAGAGGTGAAAAACTGTAAGATTTTGGAAATTTCGAGAAACGACAAAACGCGGACCCCAGGTCCATGGACTACCTTTGTGGACCTGGTCCATGGACTACACTCGTGGACCACGGACCACTCCCGTGGACCACTCTCATGGACCACTTGCAAAATTTCGCCTACCGAACAATAGACCAAGCACTATTAAACTGAGTTTAGGAAGCCGAGATTGGCGGGAACTATTTCATTATTCATTTCCATTATTTATTTCACAATCAATTCAGTTTTTGTTGATGAACAGTGAATACTAAGTCTGTAAAAATGCTGAAAAAATGTAGTCGATCAGGGTTCATCAAAAAATATAGGAATACTGTGGAGAATCCGGAGGGGAGGGGTGGTCAAAGGATTTTACTGAATTATTCGATCACTTGAACTGTAGAAGTCATAAGTTGCAATGACCTTTCTTAATGCCTGAAGGTCTTCTCCCAAAAATATTAATTTTTGAAGCTCAATTACTGCTTTTCTTGCATTTTCTGTAGCGATGGGAAAAAACTACCAATTTTAAGGCCATACATTCGGAAACTTTGCATTAAAGTCGTAATTGTACGCTTATATTTTAGAACAGTCATATAGTGAATGGATTTAGAACTTCACATTTTGTATAGAGTTCCCACAATGATAATATAATGACTGAACTCGGCTCGAGCACATTTTTCCATGCACAGGAGTCAAGAATTCAAACCCCCAAAATCTGGTATCTCGCAAGCGGTCCACAAGAGTGGTGCAAGGGAGTGGTCTGTGGTCCACGAAGGTAGTTCATGGACCAGGTCCACGAAGGTAGTCCATGGACCAGGTCCACGAAGGTAGTCCACAGACCTGGAGTCTGCGTTTTGTCGTTTCCTGGAAATTTCTCAGCTTTCCTTATTATGGATCGATTGTATGTACAAAAACGTTGGTTCTTCATTTCGCTCAAATTTTTGAATCCACGAATCTTTCTGCTAAAAAATTACTCCAACATGTACTGTATGTGTTATTGGACATATTGGAATCAAATTCAGTGTCACAGTCACTTTACTGGAAACTGAGTGCGATGTTTCTACAAAACAAGGGTTGTTTCAACAATTATAAGCCCATCAATCCACTTTACTTTGTTAATTAATTAAACAGATTTCCTCATGAGACGTACTGTGAGAATTTTAATTCATGCTTAGGGGTTAGGGAATTTTAATTAGAGAATTTTAATTCATGCTTTAAAAAGCATGTCATAATAACGAGTACGTCACACAACAAATCTGCGACGGTTGGCAGCTAGGTGTGTAATCATCAAGTTAATTGTATCAATCAAGTTATAAATTGCAACATCATTGGAATCTATAAAACAGTTCATTAAATGAACATAATAATACTATATCTGTCATAATATTTCTTCATTTTCTATAACCACGTCACTTATATTTGCATCAGACTATTAAAGGCTACAACAACAATTTATCAGCTAAAATTCTGACAAACAATAACGCTCTAACACTTTATAACAAAACTATATGTGTATAAGAGAACTGTTTGTATTTGTAATCCGGCACCTTTTACATGTAAGCTCAAAATATAAACACATACAACAATAACTTTATTAAATACCTTCTTCGTCTGTTCCACTTCCATCATGCGGACCTTGTGCATTGACAGGCCAGTGTTCTCGTTTCTCTTGCTTTCCTTTAGTGTTCTGATCACTCTTTCCAGGTGGCTTTGGCACCATTTCAAAGCTTAATCAAATCAAACAAAGTCCAAAACATCCTCACGAAAACCGTAAGTAGGCTAAGTAAGTTACATTTTAATTTCGTTTTTGTCCAATGTTGTTTCATTATTTTTATCTATAGTCCCCAGGCCTCTTAGTACGTCTTTTAGATCACTCCGCCAGAAGGTTGGGCAAGGGGTTGGGCATACCTATAGCCTGCGTAGCGGAACCAAGGTTCCCATAAAAACTACAAAGTACAAAAATAGTATATATGACGCTTAAAATTAGGGTAAATATCAGCCAGTGGCGAAGCTAGTCATAGCAACAGGTCATGCTATACAAGTTTTTAATGATTTGCATTATTCAAATAGATGCAGGTTTATTAGCATAGCCCAGGGGTTTCAGAATAAGCCGGCGGCCGGCGGAGTTCCGCCGGCTACTTGAACTTTTACCGCCGGCTACTTTTCGTCTGGTCACAGGAAAAAAATTATATACAGGTACAATAAAAGGTACAAGCGAACCAACACGATGTTTGTTATGTTCCAATTGGAATTCAAGCAAAATATCACTTATTTTGAAAGATCAATAAGATCAATAACATATAGTACCAAACATAGCTTGCTTTCTTAAGTTGGTGTCGAAGTGAATCTTCCTGGAAGATAACTCTGATTGACTCTGACAGTGACTTAAGACCGTTTTCCACTCACGTATTTCGCCACCGCTGGCGAAACATTTCGCCACCGAAAAAGTTCATTTGTTGTTCTTTCGCGCCGTGAACAAAAGGTCAAACAGAAGTTGAAAATTTTAAGCAACTGTAGCAGGAGAACAAATTTCTTCAGCGGCGAATGAATATTAAAAAATTATTTCTTTGTCAAAATTTTTCGCCAGCGGCGGCGAAATACGTGAGTGGAAAACAGGCGTGAGTGGAAAACAGCATTGCCATTGGGGAATCCAAATTTGACAGTGAGCCAGAGAACCTTCAGAACCACTTTGGTAAATGTTTTTGGCAAGTGACTAATTCTTTGACAACGAATTAATTATGATAAAGTGATGAAGTGAAAAACTCTGGACCGTAGCGAACCCCCCTCCCCCCCAACTTTTTTAGAATTGACATATTCGGAAAATCGGGTTGGCCATTCGGAAAATTACGGCAATAATAGTATAACAAAATTTTAGTTGTTAAACAGAGAAAATATAATATAGTTGTATTGTCAGTATAAACTGATTTACGAAATCATGGCATTTACATGGATATTAACATTTAACAAATCGTAAATCGGTAAATATTCATGCATACCTTTATCATTTAAATAATATACCTTTAAAATACTTAAAATTGATTAATTTTAAGCGGCTACATTATCCATTACAAACTGCAAAGAATCATATTACCCATATTTTCCTGCAACTTCTCCAGTATATAGTTAACTAAATACGCCTTCGCCCATTTAGTATTACTAAATTGTAAACAAATTGTAAATTTCGACATACTAGAACGCTGTTTTCTGACCATCAGAATTCTGTTCTAAACTTCCCCAAAGTCCAGGAAATGGCATTTCAGAGACTCTAAATTAAGAAATTTCCTCGGGCTTTCGGCCCTCGTTCTCAGCCCCCTAGTCAAAAAGAGCTTCCTACGGCACTGCATGCTACTCAGCTACTGTAATATATCTGTGCGTAGAATATGCATATTTTTGTTTGTAAATTGCGTCTTCATTTTCCGGACAGCAAACCCCCCTGGTGATTAAACTACAAGTTGCACATTAAGGTTACAGAACACCTTTGAGTGTTAATTTTGCCTAAAATTTTTTTATTGGTTTCCATGAAAGCATTAGACTAGTTCTACTATCTGACCAAGTTTGAACGAAAAATGTTGAAAACTCGCAATAAAATACATTTCACTGCATCAAGAAAATCATTGAAAATGTAATATTCAAATTCAATTTTCTCCCGAAAAAGTTTACGGTAATTACTAATTTTCAAACGATTTCTCTCAAATTTTCACAGGACATAGCTAAAGACGTCAGTTTCAAAATTGTGTTCGGCTTTTTTCTAATTTTGGATATTTTAAAAATAAAGAGCAATTCACTCAAACAATTCAGAAATATATTGCAGTCGTCAAAGAAATTGCCATATCAGCGGAATGACGAAATAAACAAAAATTTCCGAACACAATTTTTTAGAACAACTATTTTACTGTATGAAAATGATATTTTCATAAATATAACTTAAAACCAGCAGGAGCACAACTCAAAAGCGTAACGGTACCGCGATTTAAGATTTTCCTGAATAATTCTTACATTATTTTATTGTTTGTTAATTTTACAACTTTACCATGTTTTGCATGCACTGGAGAACATTTGGTGAAAATTTGATGAAAATCGGACTGATATTGAGCGCGCAGTAGCGATTTTCCGCAAAACGCCAAAAAGGGTGTCCTGTAACCTTAAAGTACATTGTCACTTACAAGTATAAATGCAAATGACATCTAAATCTAACAAGTGAACAGTTGTACTTTATCTTCTCACTTATTCTATATTATTTAATTGTTAATTTGCGCGCGAAAATTTTTTAAATTTCCATGCGAGGGCACGCCCCCCTCCCTGCGCGTTTTTTTAACTATCAGTCATAGCCGGCTACTTTTTTGGTACAACCGCCTACTTCAAATCATTCTGAAACCCCTGAATGACCAGTCGGCCATGGCTACAGAGGCGTAGCCAGGGCTGGGGCCGGGGGGCCCGGCCCCCCTGGCAAAATTTTGGGGCCCTCTGATAAAATGTATTGTATAAAAAATGGAATCCTTGATTATATAGCTTCATGCTGGCAATAATGCAAAAATTCTGTAGAATTCTTGTAGAATTCTTGTTCTCTTATTTGCGGCACACAGCTTGAAACACATACCTTTTCTAACCCTAATTAATTATTTCAATATGTATTAAATGAGACTTAGATGAAGTTTAAACCAATCTGGGGTTTTTTACCAGTGAAGTTTTAACGCGGGCTTGGTGAAAAATCACATGTGCAGTGGTGCCGTGGCCGGGGGGCAACCCCCTATTGTTGAGACCCGTCGGAAAATTGTCAATGTTGTCGGGATCTTCGTGGTGAAGCATCGGGAAAAGTGCTACAGAAATCGGGAAAAGTGCTACGAAAGCAATTGTAATGTTATATATTGTCCAGAAAATTTTTTTACCAAAAAAGTTGTTGACGGGAAGGGGGAAGATTTAAAATGTTGTTGTCCGGAAAATTTTTTCCTTGGCCTCACCTGGGTTTTTGCTGGCCCCACCTGACCAAAAATCCTAGCTACGCCTCTGCATGGCTAGCTTGCCAGTGAATACTGTACAATGTATATAGTCGGGTTGCTTATGTAATTCCGCCCGATTTGATTGCCAAAACTGATTTTTCGCTATAAATCAATTCATGTACAAGTATAGAAACAAATTTCATTGGGTGCCATTTTTTTCTACAATTATTAAGATTTTTATGTTACAAAAAATATGTATGTGTATCTCACAGTATATTTTGCTATGAAACTAAGCTGAGTAAACCAAACTGTTCGTCTTACAACGACCACTAACCCAATTCGATTTGCAACTCATTTGTATCAATTCGATTTGCAACTGTTGGCGTTAAAGTGAGACCTAGTACAGACAAAAACACACATTTTCTGTTTATAGCATGGACGTGGGCTTAAGCTAATATGACTGTACCCACAAGAACATTAAAATTTGTGAAAACATTTTGTCTGCAGTTTTCAACTCCAGGAATATTATCTGCCAATTAGAAAAACTGCTAGCTACTGTATCATAGGCGTCCAGGCCGCAAAAAGGGGCATGCTAGTATGCCCAACGAGAGCTTAAGAGGCACCAAACCCCAGTGGGGTCCGAGGGCATGCTCCCCGGGAAATACCACTTTCTGTATTTTAGGGCGAGATTTTATGAATGATGTTATTAGAAAACGAAGGACGTGGCAAAATTGATTTGACCTAAACAGGCAAATTGCGCGACATTAGAGTGCATTGACTTATTACAATTTCTGTCAAAATTGGTGCTGCCACACCCACCTTCTACCACCCTGTCACGAACGACTATGCTAGCTATGCAGCATTGAGACATAATATGGAAGATACCAAAAAATGACTGTAGAAAAACCAGTAGGAGTAATTAACCCAACCTTGTCGACCATTTCATATGTCAATTTCTTCATCTTCCTTTCTTCTATCTTCCTCTGTTTCTGCTTCTGCAGTGTAATAATGTCTTATGTTTTTACAGTCCTCACTGCATTTACATAACTCATGCAGTACATGGCAGATCACTCTTTAAATATGAAAAATGACCGTTAAAACTAATAGATCTAGACAACCTAACCTAGCAAAGGGGTAATCAAGCTAACCTTGTAGACCTTTTCATGTGTCAATTTCTTCATCTTCTTCTGAATCATCGTCTGTTTCTGCGTCTGCAGTGTAATCTCTTACGTTTTCACAGTCCTCGCATTTACATAACTCAGTACATGGCATATCATTCTTTAAACATGAACAATTACTTCGCCCCTGGCATCGTCCTTTGCATCCGCATTTTACAAGTTCTAATACTGCTTGTAGTGCGGGTTGTTCGAGGCATTTGGGGGGTTCCAGGATGTCATGCGCTATTTCCCAGCCATTCTTAGCAAGAGGTGGCATTAGGTTGATGGCATTTCTATACCCTTTTGAAATTCTAGCGATAAGGCTTGCTCTCTGTTATTTGGAGATAACTTTTCTGCTTCCATATTTCTTTTGCTAAACTTTCCCTGTCCTGTTACGAAGTTGACACTTCCAGTGTCGTGACGTCGTGCGCAGAGGTCCATCAATAATATAAAAACGTCAGTGTCTGGAGATCGGCTTACGTCAATTTTGCAACCAGGTGATAAAAGTAAGGCATCAAGTACATGAAGTTGGATTATGGTGTCAGCTACCTCGTGGTTATGATGTAGGATAGACTCGCCGAAGACAGCCGGACGATTTAAATAAGTGCATGTAGCCATGTACCATACACTATTATCAATGCAAGTTGACTTTCCTGGTATGCTTGCAGCAATACTTTTCCAAGATACTCTGTCAACTGGGTTTTCGTCTCAATATGTGAAAGAAACGTTTTGAGTGGTACGTTTTTTATGTTCGTTGTGTCGTTGACTTGGAACTTCATAGGATCTTTGCCAGATGTACGCTTCACCCGTGTCTGTGATTTCAGGGAATGTTCAATGTATCGATCAAAGATCACTCTTCCTTCATCATATTCATGGAGAATCTTCTTAATAACGCTGACAAATGCCTGAGCAAAGTCTGCACAGGTAGTCATTTTGGTGCCTTTTTTGATTGTCTGAACAACCGCCATAGCATCAATAATGCATATCTTTCTTGTGCTTTCACTTATTTCGATTTCAACATCTGCATGATTCTCAAAATCAACATGTGACTCTAATGTTTTAACGACTGCACTTTTATCGGTTGGAATTAGAAGTTGACCATCTGCTGAAAACAATGCTCTTGGGATTGTAGAGAACTCGTATGTACCTATTACGTCGTTTAGTTTCTGCACCAACTCTGGCCGTGATCTCTGAATTACTAGAAATCTAGCAAGAAGCTGCTTCTCTAAGCTTGACGACATTCTTATTTACCGTAAAGCGCGATTTCTTTTGCCAGTTAGAAAATGTTTTCAATGATAGCTTCTTCATAGGATCCCATATATAGACATCTTTTCTGTGGTACTCAAAAGCCTACTGGAAACAAAACTTTTCAATGCTTCTTCTCTCTTGTCTCTTTCGACAATGTCTCTCTCTGCTATTGCCTATTGGTGACACTGCCATATTCGAGGCTATATTCATTAATTCTGCATTTGCAGCGAAAGGATTTTCCACGCAGTGCTTACGAATCCCATTATATATCTTTGCTGCATTCTGCTGTACTCTTGATGCCATTGAACCTGTTAGTTAATGATGCATCCTCTTCTTTCTGTGACGTGCATCGTGACTTGCTTGAAACTCGTCCACGATACGCTTAGTCTCTGGGGCAATTAACAAATACCTGTCAAGTGCTGATTCGTTTTGAGTAATCCCAGTGATACCCCCTGCAACTTTGAGACCACGAATCTGTTGTTCTAATGTTTGATCAACGAAAAGGTTTGTGAATGGAATGCCTGACCTGATCACGCTAAAGTTCTCCTCAAGCGAACTCCATGTTTCCACATCATCCTCTTTCAGCTGTTGCAACACAGCATGTACAATTCAGCATGTACAATTTTGCATGTACAATTCATGTACGTGCAAAATAATACTTGACTTGCTCTTGTAGAGCTGGCATGTAGAGCTTTAGGTCACCTTGCCGTGAAGCTCTAATCAGACGCAGCAAACTTTCAACTTGGCGAAGGTAGTTCAGAAGGAACATTTGCATAGCACCAGATATTTTGTCATCTGTAAGAATGCCGAGGTCTTCTAAAGACTTCGCTATTTTACCACAAAACACATCGATACCAACGGAATTGCTATGCAATCTCTCTCCAAAGGCATGGCAGTCATTCATTATTTGCTCTACGTTTTGGTTGTCATGAAGTAAAACATCAAATAGCATTTCTCATAACGCCAGAGCGTTCGTAACGTGGTATTCAACACCTCTCTTGTAGTTCTTTCCTCCAAGTATTTGTCGTATAGTTGCAGGTGAGTATATTCCTTCCTCGATACTAACAACGTCAATACCACTAGCTTCTATGTACTTACCAAGAGCATGGAGAGAGGCAAAACACGTATGCAGTTCCCCTATACGCAGGAACAATTTGCTTATCCCATTTGCTTGCTGCAACTTAACGGCTCTTTCGTATAAATCAAGGTGCAAAGTAATTATTGTTTTATGATTTGGTCCAGTTAATTACAACGGCTAAAATGCCTTGTGTAATACATAACGCCTTATACAGTGTTGCATAATCTGTCGGGGAACTTCGTAGCAAAGGTACTATATAATTATACCAGTTAAAGTTTTACTTGATTTTGGTAAGGGGCCATTCACAAAGGATGTCCGGCTAAATGATAGATTTTCAGACC